TATGCTTCCAAGATCATCTCCTATGCTCAAGGCTTTATGCTGCTCAGACAGGCAGCCACTGAGTTTGGCTGGACCCTCAATTATGGAGCCATTGCCCTCATGTGGAGAGGGGGCTGCATCATCAGAAGGTAAGGAGAGGAGAACTCAGGGCTGCTGGCACAGGGCCCAGACAGTGCTTGCATTTCCTGTGGCTGGGAGCAGCCGTCCTGTCACTGAACACTGGCAACAGCGTGGGTTACATTGGCACAGCTCACTTTTGTCTCATGCAGCCCCCTTTGCTGTCGGCCTCCACCCCTTAAAACAATTGTAGTTCAAAAGTATTTGGGGGGGTGGGGGAGAAATGAGTGGGGCGTGGGGGCACACCTGTAGTCCGAGCACTCCCATGGTAGAGACGGGTGAATTTCTGAGTTCAAGGCCAGCCTGAGCTACATAGTTCTAGTACAGTTATGGCTACGTAGAAAAACCCTTCTCAAAAGAAAAATAAACAAAAGGTATACAGCACTTGCTAGGCCCTGGGCTCTGCCACCAGCACCAAAAAAAGGTTCTGAACATTTAGAGACTATTTTCTTAGCACTGTTCCCTAGGCAGGACAGTGAAGCTGCTTTATGTAACATTTACATTATAAGCCAGCTAGAGATGATTTAAAATAGACACAGTTTGTGTAGGTAATTTGAAATACCAGTTATTTCTCTGTGGGAGGCACTACAGGTGCCAAGCACATGTGGAGGTCAGCAAAACTTGTCGGAATTCTGTCAACTTCTACCCCAGTATATCTATCCCAGTTACACATTCTGGGCCTGGGGAAATTCACAGGATTGAGTTCAGGGACCCACTGGACCTACTGTGAGTCTGGCTTTAGCCAAAACTCCGATAGTCTCCTGACCTCCACAAACCCCCACGTTAGCTGGAGGGCCACAATGCTTCTTGGGATCTCCCAGAATTAATGTCAGTTCAGAACTGTATTCAGTAGCCTCAGCAAAGTCTGTTCTCCCCGGCCGCCAGTGTAGTCCCCTTGTGAAAGGCTGTAGGTCTCGCTGAGGAAGGCCTGGAGCCAGGCTAACAGTAAAACACTTAGGTAGTTTATCAGTGTCCTTCCTCGGGCACCTAGCTGTTCCTGCAGGGGGTTCTAGGTCTGCACATTGGTTTATGAGCTGAGATGCCGTCTTGCTGTGGTCCAGTGTAGCCTTTCTTCCCTTTGTTTGAGCGTTTTCTGCTTCTTCTTATCTCTTCCATCCCTGGACACACCACTGCAGCCAGTGTCAAAGGTCCACAAGAGTCATGCCACCATAAAGTCACTTCACGGTGCTGCCATTACAGGTCAGGCCTTATGGTCATTGCTGTGCTGCCCGTTACGATATCTGCACTCACCCTCAGTACTTCCCTTCTACCTTGTGGTACCTGGGGGGCTCTAGGGCTGGTAGTAACCCCCTTTACCCACTGAGCTGTGTCTCTGACCCATTAAATACTAGGCTGTCTTAGGAGGGGCTTGAGCACCCACAAATTTTGACTGAACCCATCCCCTGTCCACACTTGAGGGACAATCCAGTCTCTCCAACTGCATTGTCTATTGTCTATACCACATCCTGCAAGTGAGGAGTATCCTGGCCTTCAATTTGTCTCCTGGGGCCCACTCCTTTTTTCTTTGATAGGGGTTCTCACTTAGCCCATGCTGGCCTTGAGCTATGATCCTTCTGTCTCCACCTCACTCTCTGTACTAAAAAAATAAAATAAAATAAATGTTATTTTCTTTTAAATATTTCTTATGGGGCTGGAGAGTTGGCTCAGCAGTTAAGAGCACTGGCTTTTCTTCCAGAGGATCCAGGTTGAATTCCCAGCACCCACATAGTGGCTTACAACCTCTGTAACTCTAATCCCAAGGGGTACAGTGCCCTCTTCTGGCCTCACTGGCCACTGTATGCACCTGGTACACAGACACACACACGCTTCATGCATTTGCAGGGTCGTGCACATGAACCACAGTTGTGTATAGAGATCAAAAGACCATTTGTGGGGATGAATTCAGATGGTCAAATACCTTTCCCTGCTGAGTCACCTCATTGGCTCCTCTGTACTTCTAAATGTTATTCTGCTAGCTCTGAGGGGTGGGGTGGGGGTGAGAAATGTGACTTTGCATCTGTGTAGAGTGTGCAGTGCTTATTATTTCCAGACGTTCAGTCTGCTGCTGTTTTAAGATTGATTTCTTGCAAACTATTTCAGTGTATTCCTGGGAAAAATTAAAGATGCATTTGAACGAAACCCAGCACTTCAGAACCTGCTGCTAGATGACTTCTTTAAGTCAGCAGTTGACAACTGCCAGGTATGTGGTTGGCAGTGGGTGGTGCTGGGCTCTCTGGGTTTCATTAGCAGCACTGAAGCCTATGGAGTCTGCTGTGTAGACTGGAACTTCAGTGTCTCGGGCAGACTCAGCCACTGACCTTCTGCTCTCTGTGCTCAGGACTCCTGGCGGCGGGTGGTCAGCACTGGGGTACAGGCAGGCATTCCCATGCCCTGCTTCACTACTGCCCTCTCTTTCTATGATGGGTACAGACATGAGGTGCTGCCAGCCAACCTCATCCAGGTGAGCTTGGGATCGGGTGGTTCCCGAGGGTTGTGTGCCTACGTATCACCCTAACCAACCAACTGCATCCCTTTCCTAGGCTCAGCGGGATTACTTTGGAGCTCACACCTATGAACTCTTAGACAAACCAGGAGAATTCATCCATACCAACTGGACAGGCCACGGTGGCAGTGTATCATCCTCTGCATACAACGCCTAGTAGGACTGTAGCTTCGCCCTCCCTCCCACCAACAGGACAGTCCCTGTGGCACGCAGCACTCCTCTTTGCCCTAGTTCCTGCTCAGATCTTTTAGCCAAGTATTGGCTGTGATTGCTGAAGAAGTCACCAAGGTCTGTTGTCTGGTAGTTCTGACACCATGTGCTCCACCTCGACCTTTTGCATTGCCCAGGAACTGACCTTGTGCGCCACTGCGTGACCGCTCCCTGACTGAGCTGGGCCATGTGGGTCACAGGGGATGGATGTGTGGATTGTACAGCCTGAACTGTGGATCATGTATGGGTTCTGTTGTCTTCCACTCATAACGGCTATAGTTACTTCTGCCGGTTTCTGGGCATGCCTGGACGGAACAGCCGCTGTTCCATTGCCAGAGGTCTGCACTGAGTTCACTGTATGGGAATTGATTGCTTTTCCTTTAGCCTTATTCATTTTGACTCTGTTTTGTTTTGTTTTCTCTCTTTTTGAAGACTTCAAATAACACAGGACACATTAACTTGAGGGATTAAGTCTGGAGGGAGGTGAGGAGGCACCAAGGAGTAGGGGACAGGGCTCTCGTGTTGTCTTGTCTTACTGGGCACAGTAGGTGCCTGGATTGGATGTTCATGTAACGTCTACCCCATCAACACTGGTAATAAACTTTTTAGACTGGCTTGGTCCTCTTTGTGTCCTCTTCTGCACCAGATCTGTCTGGGTCCCACCCTGGCCTGCCATGGATTTCTAGTGCCCTCAGTCTTCCTGAACCAGACTTTCATTTGTCTTGTTTACTGATAGCTTTAGCTGGCCTGGGGCCATTGAACTGTGGTAAGCCAGCAGTGAGCTCCACTCCGTGATGATTTTTCTGGACTGATTCAGAGTCAGTCCCACGAGGGGCCTGAGAGCAGAGCAAACAATGGCTGTTTGGACAGCTGGCAAGTCTCATCCGGCTCTGGTTCAGTCTCAGGAGCTGCAGGACAGGCAGAGAGAGCTATGTGGGAAAGCAGCTTTTCATCAATCCTCTGCCTCAGGCCTCCTGGAGTACAGGGTGCATCCCTACCCCTCTTCCTAGATGTGAGGGCCAGGCCCACCTGCCCCTCCAGACCCCACTTACAGACTAAGGACTGTGAGAGGCACTCCTGAGAGACAGGTGGATGCCTGGAGAGTAGAGCAAATCCTGAGGAGAAATGAGGATGAAAACCTAAGACCGGGAGCCGGGAAGCTCAATGCAGCCCTTCCTAGTTCAACTTGGAGAAGCTGTGGAAGGTAGGATGGGGTCTCTAACCCAGCCCCATTCCTACTGGCTGTGTCACTGGGGAAGTCGAGTCGTGCTCATGGTCTGTTTGCTCGCAGGCAGACGATCTCCAGTGAGAACAGTAGCAGTTGGTCCTCGGCACCTGCACACGTAGCTGCTGTGGAAGATGTGGCCTGCCTTGTGTTGGTGGGAGTTCACTGTGATAGATGTTCAGAAGGACTCTAGCCAGTGTCCTGTGCATAGCACTGTATGTGTACCACTTAAGGACAGACTAGAGCTTCTCACACTCTGCCGCCAGCAAGATGCCCCCTGGAAAGCGTCACAAAGTGCTGGTTGGGGTGGAGCCCCGCATACTGCATTTCCAACAAGCTCTCAGTTGGTGTCCATGCTTCTGGGCATAGCTGTGCATGAACACAAACCAAGAAGCAAAACTGCCCGGGGACTAATGTGCAGTCTCATCAAGGCCAAGTAGTTAGAGTTTAGATTCAGAGCCGTCCTGACAGCGTTTTCCTCATGGACCCAAGCACGTTGCAGTGTGTTCATGTGCATGTGGACGCCTGATGGTTTTTTGACTCAAGGTCTCTCTCACTGTGACCCAAGGCTCGCCCAATTCAGCTAGGCTGTCTGGCCAGTGAGCCCCAGGGATTCACCCGCCTCTGTCTCCCTCCCCAGACAGATTTCAAGCACATGCCTGGCACCTAATGATCTTTGCTTTTTTTTCATGGGTTCTAATCCCGCCCTATCTCTTGCTAGCAGTGATTACAACACTTGCTTAGCATGAGTGAAGCCCTGTGCTCTGGCTCCAGCACTAACAAGGAAGCAGCAGGATGGCTCAGCAGGGAGAGGCCAAGCCTGACCACCCGAGTTCAGTCTCTGGCCCAACTCCTGGAAGTTAACCTCTGACCTCACATAGTGTGTGTGGTGGGCTGAGCATGATGACACACTCCAGCGTGTGGGAGCTGGAAGATGGAGAGTTTAAGGCTCAGACCCCTTCCCCTCCTCCATGTAGGTAGAGTGCTTGCCCACCATGCACAAGGCCAGGGGACACCTGCAATACAAGCCAGAAAAGAAAGACTGGGACTGGGGCAGGGAGGGGAAGGGTTTGGTTATTTGTTTGTTGGGATTTTTTTTTTCTTTTTTCTTTTTTTTTTCTCAGTCTTTCTATGTAGCTCAGGCTAGCTTAGAACTCTTTTTTTTAAAAAAATATTTATTTATTTATTTATTATGAATACAGAAGAGGGAGCCAGATCTCATTACAGATGGTTGTGAGTCACCATGTGGTTGTTGGGAATTGAACTCAGGACCTCTGGAGGAGCAGTCAGTGCTCAACCTCTGAGCCATCTCTCCAGCCCTTAGCTTAGAACTCTTGATCCTTCTGCCTTGGCTTCCCAAGTGCTGGGATGATAAGCATGTACTAATAGGCTGAGCTGGAAGCTGTTTTTTTTTTTTTTTTTTTTTTTTTT